CTCTCTCTCTCTCTCTCTCTCTCTCTCTCTCAAAAACAAGCAATCAAACAAAAAACATTGAAAGGTAAGACTCAATGAAGGTGTCACTTGATCCAAGGACCTAAATATTATAACAGGATCCATATCATCTCCACTTCTTGACTCTGTTTTCTGAGTGTTGGTGCAATCTCAGATTATGGTGCCAAGAGAGCTGCAGAAGCTCCAGTTTACAACTCTCAAGTCGAAGTCCACAAAGAAGAGTTCAGTGCTAGTTCCTTGAAGCCCCACTGCTGACCTCAGTGCATCTCCTGGGCTCTGCTTGAGTCACATGCCTATGGCTGAGCCAGTCCCTGTGGCTGGGAAAATGTAACGCTCTGACTGTGGCTCACCTGAGTTACCGGCAGAGCCAAGGATTTAGAGAAACAGGAGAAACAAGAGCTAGGGAGACTCCCCTTAGTTGCCAAATGTCCCCTGCCCCCTGGAGCCCTAGGGGACACGTTCCGCCATGCACACAGAGAAGCAGAGGGAGCGCTGACTAAAAGGAGAGAAAGATTGACAGGAACACGTGGAGAGGACGGGAGGCAGAAAGCAGAGGTTTCCATGGCTTTCCAAGGCCTGCTTCTGACGCTCCCAGAGGCTCGAAGCTCACGCGTCACTGGTGTCTGTGGCTTGACAGTTTGTCCTCCCTTCCTGTCCTCCATTCCTTGCCTTCTTTCCACCCGAGGCACTTGCATTGGTTTGTCTTACTTACAGCCGAGGACATTAACCAGTTTATTTTACTTACAGCCAAGGACATTGACCAGGGAGTTCATGGAGGTTTTCTGCAGCTCCACAAAGAGAAAACAAATGGGCTGTTTCCCAGGCTGGGAACCCGTTGTCTGCCCTGGAAGGAGAAGCAGAACAAAAACAAACAGCACGGTGCTGCAGTCAGCTCCTAGCCCCGGGGGAGAGCATGGCTCCTCTATTCTCCAAGGATGCCGCGTGGGTAAAGCAGCTCTGTTAAGCCAGCCAGCATGTCCACCCGTTGGAGCATCGATTGACTTCCTGATGGTCACATGACGTAACCCTCACCCAGCACAGCCAAAAGGAACCATTTTCCAGGTTTTGGTTGGAAGTATCAGGGAAGCATACTTCCTTTTTCTATTGGAATGTGAGAAGATGGCAGGGCTGAATTGGGTCAGATTTCTTATGGTTCATGGGTCTGAGCATGGACTAAACTCAGGGGAGCAGAGCCCAGAAACCCAGAGAAATAAGCTGCATCCCTGTGAGGTCATGTGAGTCCTGGATCAAGCTATGCCTGAAGCAATAATGACCTCTGGATTCTTCAGGTGTGTGAGCAAAGAAATTCTTTTTCCTTTTCTTAAGCTTATGTGAGTTAAGAGTTTTTGTCATTCGAAGCAGAAAGAATCATAACTAATATAGTTACGGGAAGTTGGGTTTGAGGAAAGGTGTCAGGTAATCTATAAGATGGAGAGGCTAAACTATAAACAGAGACAGGTTCTAAAACTCCAGTAGGCACACTTCCTTTTCTTTTTTTTTTTTTTTAACTCATAAAACACTTTGCTTCTACAGTAGATATGGCATGTATCACCCACTGCCTTGAATTACAATTACAGTTCTTGTACAGTAAGTACAAATTTCACAACCATAAAACTCCGGTGTGCAGAAATGTAACTTTCCTTATTGTTTCATAATTGAGCTTAATTTAGCTCACACACCCTCATTTCTGCTAATGGTGGAGAACTTAATCTTACCAATTCTGGGTGATTCTGGCAGTCCTGGTTTAAAGCATGGGATCGTTTTGCAGGGAATCAGTTCAGGATTCCAAATCACTTTCCCCCGGGGGTGACCTATGGGCCTGGTGAGTAAGCAGACCTTCTGGTCTAGGCTAACCTCTGACTATGGAGGGCAGCAGCCCATGGCCGGTCCTTGGAGCTGGCGGCCAGCCCTGGCCTTGTCCTTGCCCATCCCCCAGTTCAGCTTCTGCAGACTCAACCTGGTTCTCTGTTGGTCTCCAGCTTGGGCTGCCCCGTGGTCTCTGGGCTCCCTTTCTCTTCAGGTATGCCAGCTGTTGACCTTCAGCTGCCCTTGACATCCCACTCCAGCATCTGGGGACTCCCGGGTCTTTCCTAACCTGCAGGAGTGAGGAGTGAGGGGCAGGGTCAACTCAGCCTCCCCTCTGCCTAAACCAGCTCTGCTCCCCCTTCTCAGCCCCAGGAACCACTTGTCAACTTGACTGGACCAAAGAATACCCAGATACTTGGTTGGACATTGTCTGTGGGTGTGTCTCCAGAAGAATAAGCCTTTGAGTTCATGGGCTGAGTCAAACTGGCGTCTTTCCCCAGGTGTGTCCAGTACGCTGAGGGTCTTAATAATATA